TATTCATTCGACCTTTGTTGCCTTAGCCTCTGCGGATGAAGAGGATATGGCGTATTTCGAAATATTGGATTGATTTAAATGGTGTTGTAACAGTCATCGAAAAGCGAGATCTTGTTCGCCATTTGGAAGTTTCTTTTGAAATTTTTTCTTCATAAAATTGTATATTGATACATAATCTTCCCTCTGTGTAATGAATGTTATATGTAGTTCATTTCGTTAATATTTTTCTTTCATACACTTTTATGCGAACAAAAATTATTTTTATGTTAATGCATTGATGTGTTATTTCTCTCTACTGTAGCAGTCAACTATTGCGATGATAAAATAAGTTTGAACCAAACTATAAAAGTAATTTTCTTAATTGATGAAATTAATGTTCTTAGATCTACAAAATATTAGTTTTGTAATGCTGACATATTGTTGTGGTTGCGTTAGAAACACCATCAACCCTTTCCATTAATTCTACTTTTTTCGCAGTTCTAAACGAACCAAAAATACAACAAAATGTTTATTTTCTATGTATTGACATCAACAGTGTACATGTCGTATAAAAATGGAAATACCAAAGTTCATTTTTTCATTCCACTAATTGTAATTGAATGTAATTTTTACACTTTTCTCCAGCAAAGATTCGAATTTGGTTAATGATGCACTGCAAACAATCCATGGCTTTAAATTGACACTTAAATCGAACATTAGAAATAAATTCACGAGAAGTACTTTAAAAAATTTAAAGTGATTTTTTATGAATGCTTAACTCTTTAAGGATTACTGAAACATTAACTTCGTAGAAAGTGAATTTTCTTTAAAATGTATTTAAATAAAAAATAGCAGGCATGGAGTATCATATTTTAGGTTTAGTGCTTACAATTTCAGTGTCATTATGTGTTGGACCTCTTTACACCTTAATATTATTAATATTGTGAAACGTAAATATACAGGAGAAGCAAAAATAATGATGGGAATATGGAAATGTGCAAATAAGAAAAGTCAGACAGGTAAACCTAATCTTTCAATTATGGTTACTATTGCTCATATTTAGGAGATAGTAAAAAAATAAATAAAAACATGAATTCAATCAATCTCATATTTTATTAATGAGTTACAAACCAAATTGTGAATTATTTTAGATTACGAATGTAGCAATTACAAGTCTGACTCAAAACGTATCACAAACTTCATGAGGAAACATTTCATTTTGTGATTACATAAAGTTACAGTCAGAAGTTCAATATTTCAGTTGATTTAGGGAAAAAACAAATGTTCAGACAAAATTTTAATCTCAGACTGCATTAGAATAAATTTCGGCTTTCCTTGTCGAAGTGTGTTAAATACTGTATATTAAATGATTACTGCGTTAAGAATATGTTTACCAGTCATTCCCTAAACATTGAATACTTTTACTTTTTTTCAATTGATATTATCCAATTTTCATGTTGAAATTATAATTATATTATTCAGAACAAGAAATTTTAATAAAACCCAAGAATAGGTATTTTACTTCTTTGCAACGTTACTTCCAAAAACAAAAGAACTTTCATTGTTATTCTAAAAATTTCCTTCCTCCTCAATAGAAACCAATTTTAAAACCAGATTCATAGATAGAGAGGTAACAGCATGTTACTGTTAGTCATTTCTTTCTTTCTGTTAATGGAAATAACGTATATTTATGAAGGAAAATTTATATTTTTAAAAAAAATTGTTCTCTAATAAAAGTCGTATTCCTTCTGCTCATATGAACCATTAAATAAGACGTGATTTTCGAAAGTTGTGCGCTTATATATAGTACAGATAAGTTTATTTATCTATAGTGCATGACTACAAAAATATTCTTATGCAGTATTTAAAATTCCTGAGACGATTGAATTTTTTTTACTACAATTTTTCTACTTTTTTTGTATATTTTTTTTCTGAATTGCTTTTTTTTTCGTGCACAGTGTTGCTTTTAATTGCTTCTAATTTCATTGTATCTTGCTTCTGGAATGTTTGCTTTCTAAAATTTGAATTTTGACACTTGAAATATTCTCTTTGGTTTTCAATTTTCTTTACGAATACAGATTTGATAATTTTGATATTAAAAAAGTGCACGATTGAGTATCTTTCATATTTTTGTATTTTAAATTTTCCCCCTTTTTTAGTTCATTTTTTATTTATTTACAACGTGCATATTTGTTATCTGTTTATGACCCTACAATTTCGTCCTAATTACGTTTCGTTCCAAACATATTTGTTCCTTATTATGACTCCAAGCTTTGGAAAATGGGACTTCTACATAATTAGAGTATTTTAATTTTAAATTTTTAAAATTTCTTCTTAATTGCAACAGATAACGAGAACAATATAATATTTTTTCGCCGGTCATTGTACATCATTGTATTTCTTGATAATAAATTTATTTCTTTTTAATTTGGAATTTACCAGTGCACGCATAGAGAAGTCCTATTTATATTTTTTTTTTCTATTTATTATTTTTTGTCTGTTTTGAATTTTTTATATCTTTGTGAGGTAAATATATTTTAATTTTGACACCTGAAATATTTTCTTTCGTTATAAATTTTTTCCACAATTACAGATTTGATAATTATATAAAAACTTCACCAAACTTCATCTTTCATATTTTTGTATTTTATATTTTTAAAATTTTTTTGTTTGTTTTTCATTTATTTACAACGTGCATATTTGTCATCAGACTTTAATTTCGTCCTAATTAAATTTTGTTCTAAAATATTTGTTCCTTATTATGACTTTAAACTTTGAAAAACGCGACTTCTTCATAATTACAGTATTTAAAATGTTTAAATTTTCGTCATAATTACAGCTGATAACGGGAACAAATTTTTTTCTTCGCCTAATTTTGTACATCATTATAATCTTTGATAAAAAATTTCTTTGTAAAATTTGGAATTCACAAGTGCACGCATAGAGAAGCCTTTTTATATTCTCAGTTTTTTACTTTTTTAAAACTTTATATACGTACGTGAATTTCAAAATGCAACGTGCCTAAAGCCAGTTTTAATAAATCATCTGTTCTTTGTTAAATAAATCGATTCCAGATATTACGATACTTATGAATGTTCATAATCGTAGTGAATGTATAAGTTATATTTCACGACTGTGTGTAAATAGAAATCTAGTAAGTTGTTAATGGACATTGGTCAGGTAAATACAAATATTAGTAGTTAGTTTACTAATGTTTCGGAGTGTATTACGTCATCTTTAGAACTGAAAATATAAGCACCTTATGTTACGTTCAGAATAACGCTGAACATATTGAATACTACAAATATCTTTAAAACCTCATACACATTGTGAAAAATGTTTTAAACAACAAACAGTACAAAAACATTCATTCATGAATTGTAAATAATGATACTTCCTCAAATGACATGTTCAATTTCTTTTGTATCCAAATCTCTTTCTCCATGATAGCATTGACTGGCTTCATTAAAAAATTAAGGAAGTTCACATCATTAAATGAAGTGTTTTGTGATTGTCTTGAAGATAGAAAGTCGCATTTAATAATAATTTAATATAAAGAATAATTTATATTTAATGTGAAATCTTTAACGAAATGTATTTTAAAATGTCTAAATATACTTTTATTATAAGTTGTTCTAAAGTGTGTTGCATAAAATTAACAAATGGTTTATTTAGTTTAATTTGTTTTCATTGAAAATATCTTATATTCATGACACATTTCCATCTCTTATGCATCGAAATTTAGAAAACGTAAGGGAGTGTGAGGTAGAAAAAAGAAGACAATGTGGAACGCACTACAGATTAATTACATTTCCATGTGAGGAAGTTTGATTACTTACAATATCGGAATATATGTTTTTGTGTTGTTTATTTGTTGTTTAAAATATATTTTCACTTTGTGTAAATAGTAAGGTTTTATCGATGTTTGTAGTTTTTAATACGTTCTGCGTAACAGTAAATGTAACAGTGTGTTGCTCTATTCCATCAGTTGCGAAGATGAAGTAATATACTCTGAAAAGTTCGCTAACTAAAAAAAAAGTTATTTTATCTGAACAATAACCAATAACAATTTACCCAAATAAGTGTTAAAAACCTGTAATAATTTGCAAATTTTTAAAATGTTCATTTCTAAAATAAATGGCATGGCTTTATCAATTTTTTACCGCTTTAACGTGGTATACTTTATATTTTTGACATAAAAATATAGCAATTCTGTACGTACAGAAAGTTTTTTTTTTTTTTGCTTTCTACGTGAATTGCATTACGTAATGTGCTTATCGTTGTTATAATGTCCCTTCAATTTCTGTGTACGCTTCAAAAAGAATGCTAATTTCATCGCATATCAGAAATGTTTTTGGAATAAGAATGTTTTGAACTGTGAAATGCATTTTAGATTCTGATTTACTTTTTAACTATTGCAAATCACATGGACAATTTTCAATTTTCTCTTCTCTCGTTTTTGGATTTTCTTTATTATTATAATAATTTGCAATTCACGCGCATGTGGAATCTTTTTGGTGGCTTTTTTCATTTTTTAAAATTTTTATAAGACTGCATTAAGTAAATATATAACTTATTGTAAATATCAAATCTAGATTTCTGTGAACATTTTTAATTCATATATTTTATATTTACTTATTGGTTTTATAATTAATTGCAGTCAATGTGTTGATTTTTAATTTTTTGTATTTTTTTTTAATTTTCCCTCTTTTTATATTACTACAGATGCTTCCGTAGAAGTTAGGAATAGCTTCCTGTATTTTTTTTTCATTTTCCTTTTTTTTATATTACTACAGATGCTTCCTTAGAAGTTTGGAATGTCTTTATCTTTTTGTGGTACTGCACCCTAGACTGCCAGCCTTTTTTATGAGTTTTGTTTTCTAATGATTTTGCAATATTATATTTTTCTTCAATTTGTTATTAATGTACTGACTTGACAATGTATTCTAAGGCTACTGCTGATTTTTTTCGTAGTCTACAAGTTCTCTTCGGCTTTTTTATTGACTTGCAAAATTCGGTTTTACCTAATTATTTTAATTTGGTTATTTTTTATTTTAGATGTGAACTTCTCTACTTTAAAAAAATTATAATAATTGACGAACGAGCATCTTCTTGTACTCTCTATGGATCAAATGCTCAATACCCAGTCTAAAAATGCAGCACCGTTTTTTGTTATTCCATTTTAATTTTTTTTTTTTACTTTTTATTTTTATGAATCATTGCAGTGTTTACTCCTTTGAAGACGACTCTCAAATATAGTGGAGCGCGTCTTCCGTAAACATCTTCAGCTTACACCTCTTCCTCTTCCTCCTCATCCTCTTCTTTCTTTTCATTGTCATGTATTTGATCCTCGAACCTGTAATGGAATCAAACGGATTCTAGAACAACATATATAAAAGCGACCTGTGACTTTTCCTATTTCGGCAGACACTTTAACAGTCGTGGGTACAATAAGAACCGACCTAAAATAAAATGCAGCCCCACTCGGGGTGGCGTGGAGGCGGAGGCGGGAGCGGGGGGGGGTGCGAGGGGCAGGGCTCGGTCACGCGAAGGTGCGCTGTTTAGTTTGTGTTCGGCGGCGTCGCCGTCGCGGGAGGCGCTGGCGCGCTTCATTTATCACGGGGCAGAGGAGCGCGCGTCGCCGCGTCACGAGGCCGATGCCGCCGATAAGGCCCTCCCGACGGAGCGCCGCCGCAGCAACACGTTGGCCGCCTGATCAGTGTTGCCGTCCCGTAGGATAATTTTCGTTTTGTAGGATACGTTTGTTCTTGTACGCTCTATGACCATTCCCGTAGGTTAATGTCCTTTTGTATGATCGTTGCAAATGCGAAATGTTATTTTAATACAAATATATAAGAATTGTTAGGTATGTTTCAGAAAAGGCGTTAGCAAATGAGTCAAAGTTTACAAACAGTCCTACGAATGCTTTCACTATGGAGTGTCCTTTCGTTTCCAGAGGCCGATTTTTTGTCACTTTTCTGTCTCCCCTCTCTCTGGTCTGCCTGTCTGCCTGACTGCCTATAGTTGCGTAGCCTTCCGCGGCCGGAGTTTATGTTGTCTAGGCTATCCGGGACGAGCCGCGTCACTGACATGGTGGCTAACGTTTCGGCCAGTGTATTGTGGCCTTCTTCAGAGCGTACTGCTGAAGCATAGCAGCCTAGACAACATGTCTGACTGCCTGTATGTACAAATGTAACATACAATAACTTGTACACGTCTTTATGCAATCAATTCAGTCGATTCTAGACCTCCCCAAGTTGAAGAATGATTCTGTTCAAAATCTTCAATTTTTCACTCCAGAATTCCTTAATTTCATTACAAGGGTTGGCAACATGTTAGTTGCTCGGATAAGAATTTAGGGAAGTACACTAAGTGATTGTCAAATTAGATAACTGACAAATTGATAATTAGAATAAAGATGAGAAAGAAGAAAGAATGAGAATTGTAATGAGAAGATGTACACACACAATTTAGGAAACGTTCATAATTTTCCGTTCATTTCAATATTTTAGCGATACTTTGTCTCTAACCGCAATTGCTTCTACTAATTGACTTATTTGACTCTCAAAGTGAAGGTGAGTAAATGTTCATTGTTTAGAGCAAGTGTGGTATTTATAATGACATTAGTGTTGTTATGAATTAGTTCATAGCTCTGGTTCATTAAAACATACATTTCTTTTCTATTTGTATTTAAATATTCTTAATTTAACATTTTCAAATAGGAAAATAATACATTTTTGCCTGGTAACATTAACATTCTTTTAATTCAATATTCCTAAAACTAGTACTTATGGTCGTCTGCAGTGATCTAAAGTAATCATATGTTATAAAATTTTGTGTTTTCCTGTTTAATAATGGTGAAAGTATCCAGATTGAGGCACATGTCTTGGAATAAATATTGTCCTTTATTCTCCTCCAAACATGCTTGCCCACATAAACATATATCTTGGAGAGCATGAACGAGTATTGTTGAGAGAATAATACACAAATTGGACGTAAAATCGCAATAAAATTTGTTTTAAACCGTGTTTAAGTGTACGTTCTTGGGGACTCTAAAACGAAAGAAAACACTTTGCTCAGCGTACACATCGCCGATATTTATCACATGTATTAGTTTTTAAGTGAGTATAAGACGCGTGAAACATGACTATCATTATAATTACAACCATAATGCTGTATAATATAACACTCCTAATTTCGTATGCTTTAGCTTTTATTCTTTGGTTCCTCTTTGTACTCCAAAGCTCTAAAGTTGCTGAGTAGTCTAATAACTGTTTTGGTGGGCTACAAGTTTACTGTCCACTCAACACAAACAATAACAATTAAATGAATTATTGCTAATAAGGGAATTTTTGCCCCTCTTCGTCGCTTTGAAGAATCTAAGTGATGAATGCAACATATCCAAAATAAGTGAATTATCTACCTCCATAAATTATAGTATAATAACATTCCATAAGATAAGAAGTTAATGAAATCAATGACCCTGAGTTACCTGTCACCCATGGAATTCTGTAATATAGCCAAACCTCTATGGAATGTAAGTGGGAAGCAGACATCACGAGGGAATATGGACGCGTAAAACCATTTACTTATTCAAAATTTACTGGAAAGGACGTAGTGCAAGCAATTTGGATAAGCAATGAAGGCATTATTTTGAACCTAATTTCCACGGCGTATATTTGCTTTTGGAAACATTAGCGACTTTTTTCTTTCACTCAGAAATCAAAGGTAACACTGAAAAGAACTTCGATTTACCTAATATTCCCGAATCTAATGAAACTTTACATATCGGACGATTCCACCAAGTCAGGCCCCTTTTAGGAACGAGCCAGCCGTTGGCCAGGGGCGCCAACAAAAGTAAAAATAAACGTGAAAGATACGCGAGTCGGTTCATCATTTCTAACTTCACGCCCAGCCGCCTCTTCTCTGCCGCGTGCATCCCGATCCGCCGCTCTGCCTCGGGGGGCGGCGGCGGCGGCGGCGCGGCGGCCTTTTCCTTTGGCGAGGGTAATTAGCGCGCCCGGCGAGTCCTAGCGGCCGCAAATGAAATCGCGAAAATTGCCCACCCGCTCGACCACAGGGCCTCGACCCGGCCGCACGCCGCCGCCGTCACCCAATTCGCCTCATCGTCCCCTCCGCGCCCCGCTTCCACGGGTTGCAGGGGCGGCCGAGTGGAGCGGCGCAGAGGGAAGAGTAGGGGCCGGAAAAGCGGTGGGGATCTGGCGAGTGGAACGCGAGGCGCGCGCCGCCCGAGGTAGGCGCCCGTTCTCGACGTGATCCTACCCTTTCATGTAAGTAATGGGCGGAGCAAGAACCGTTGTTTCCAAGAGACGCGCGCACGGCCGGGGTAATCAAAATTGAATAAAGATGCCGATAACAAATATGGAAGACCGGTGAAGGGGGCGTGCGGGGGCGGCGAGAGAGGGAGAGGCTACCGCTACGGCCGGGCGGGCAAGCGGAGTGTGGGGGGTGGAGGCGGGCCGGAGGCGGGGACGGGCCTGCTGTTGGACACAGCCAAATGCGAAGGGATGTCTCACTCCCCGCACACCAACTTATCACCCGACAGGGCCGCCTGCCCGCGGCGGCGGCGGGGCGGCGGCGGGGGCGGCGGGCGGCGCCGGTTGGCGCGGGAGCACCGCACTATGAGAGATGGAGTCATGAGATCTTGCTGTCTGAGCCAACCATGAACAAAAACACAGCAGAGCACCCCGCCGAAACGCACGCTCGTAAACGCCGACCCGGCTGCCAGCACGACCACCGATCACCGTCCGAGGCTGATGCAAATTACGTCGCTAGCCCGGCGGCCGGAGCGAGACTCCGCCGAGACAGCTGCCACCGCCGACCGATGCCGACCGCGGGCAGCCGCCGCCGCCGACGAACGCCCGCCGGCCAGCGCGCCAAAGCCGCCAGACCCCACGCCCGCCGAACCCCGCAACAGCACAGACAACGCCCACACCCAAACACAGGGCAAAGTCGCGTGAGCCGGACGCGGCAATCCCGGCCCCGCCCTGGCGCCAGCCGACGGGCTTCAACTGTTCCAGCTAGGCGGGTATGCTTCGGTTCGGGATACAGCTAGCTGTAACACGTATCGACAGGACCAGTCGATTACTCGTTTCGAAGCTTCCCAAAGTATCGACTGATTCTGTTTGTGACCACCAACTGCTAACATTCTGCTAACTAATAAGAATTAATTATTTTGGTTAATCTTCTGTTGCCTCTGGCCTGACAATAATACCCAAAGAACACACTGTGTAAGTAAATAATTCGAAGAAAGTCACTCGTATTATCGTAGATAAGTACATAATGAGATTCGATAGCTCCGGTGTTGATAGTTAATTACATATTGAATAGTTAATGATTCACCACTTAATCACTGGAACGTTCAGACTACCAAACGCGTCATTTGCTCTCCCTGTAGTGGTGGACGCAATTACGCTAGATGATATACACATTGATGACGAATTCTAACAATTCTAAATTCTGATCTTCCAATATTTAGTGTGTATTTAAATTTATTTATTATATGGTACTATCTATTTATTTATTTATTTATTTATGCTCTACAAATTTAATTATTTACTTTATTTCATTTATTCTATTTATTTATTTATTTATTATAATATACTTATTCTATTCTATTCTACAATTGAATATTGAAATTATGTTATTTAATTAGTGTATTTATTTATTTCATGTTAATTTATTTATCTATCTACCCTTTATCTTACCTTCATTCCACTCTCTCCAATTTAACCTTTATTCCTCAATCGTATTTATCTCTCCATGTATTCATCTTATCTTCATTTATTTATCTTATCTTATTATTTAATAATTATGTTATTTATTTATAATTATTATATTTATGTTCATAAATTATCTTATTATCACTGTATGATATTTATAATTATTTACCTTAATATCTAGATTCCTCATTATATTAATATTTATTTATTTATTTATTTATTTATTTATTTATTTATTTATTTACTTATTTTTCCCGGAGTGGTTCAAAATTGTGAATTCGCTTGTGAATACGCTAGCGAGATTGTAACTTTATGACACACAGAGATGTA